ATTTCAAATCAATATATCTTCGAAACTATTCGTTTCTGTGAGAAAAGAAAAAATACGTGTCTAATGTTTTTAAATAATCTACCAGACGGACATTAAAATAAAAATTAGTCGTCTACCCTATTACTGAGAACATTTCAAAATTATATCAGGGTTATAATATAAAATCTCCTGGCTTTTTTAAGGGGGGATAATCATCGAATGACTACTCCCGCCTGGGAGAGGCGGGAGGGAGTGTCAGACTCTTACTGACTAAAAACCACCCCGTTCCTTCGGAAGGCTCGACGTGCTCCTGCACGTAGTGCCTCGGTAACCCGTTAGGTTCTCCGCGACTCCGAATCGGCATCAACCCTGTTGGGGCCCATCCTTGGTGGTCTGATGCCTCTTTGAAGCGCGCGCGCCTGTTCGAAGGCTACGCTTTCGATTTCATTTATGCAGCGCCTACAATGTATCAGCGGCAAAGTCGACGGGACGCATTATATTCACTATATACTCAGGTATTTGTTGTAACTGTGGTCTTATAAAGCACTGTCTCATACCATCATACGACTGCACTATATACAGAAGTCAATAAAACTTATATACTTAATTTGACACTGACTGCCTCAATGGCCGAGTGGTCGCAAATGCGACCGGGCAAGGGGTCTCGGGTTCGATTCCCAGGTCGGGCAAAGTATTACTAGGTTTTTCCAAAATTCACAGTAATAGCACGGAGTCTGGAATTGTGCCCGGTATGTGGCAATAGGTCTTGTTCGTATTTATGTATATACATACCTATATGTGTATAATTATGTATGTATATATGTTATATTATGTTATGTATTTTCCTTCGTATATTTAGGTATATAGAGGTATATGTCCCATACTTATTTGTCTACTGTTCGTTTTGCATTACGTATATATTTTATATTTAATTAGTATATATTGTATGATATGTATAATTATATATGATGTTAATTTTAATGTTAATGATATCATATGATTAACATTAATATTAACATTACATATGATTCATATGTAATGTTAAATTATTGTGTCATTCTAATAAGTGTTAAACTTTTACACCTACTATTGTGTCTCTCTGCATCACCCTAAGGTTGACTGTTAGAGAATGCCACTAGGCATTAAGTCCGCCATTGTATATATACAAAAAGTGTAAATGAATAAATAAAAAATAGGCTCACTCCGTATTACATGGGACTCATAACTTAAATAGTGAAAAGTGGGTGTTACATTGTACAGTGGCATAATGTACACCTCTGCCGACCCCTTCGGGGATAAAAGGCGTGATGTTATGTTATGTTATGTACTTAATCTGAGTTCATCCGAAAAGTGTCTTGATTTCAAAGGTAGAAGATAGTCATTTGACAATCACCTACCTAACTACTGCCTAAAAGTTCTGAAAAAAATACTTTTACAGGCGTTATTCCCTAAGAACCTCATCAAATCGCTTGTTCCCTAGCCCCTTCAAGGTCGAGTGCTACGTATAATTAATTACCAACGCTCCTGCTGACCCCCAAGAAAGCCACCGGCTCTATTTATCATTGCGCTCATAAATAGTAATAGAGTTATTAACCGACTTCAAAAAAAGGAGGAGGTTCTCAATTCGACCGTATATATGCTTTTTTTTTTTTATGTTTGTTCGCCGATATCTCCCTTGTTTATAAACCGATTTTGAAAATTCTTTTTTTGTTAGAAAGGAGATAGTTCCAGAATGGTCCCATGATAAGGAAATCAGGATCTGATGATGGAAGACCAGGGAAACCGAGGGGAACTTTTAAAAATTATAGGGGTGACTAGGGCATTTGTTAATTTTTTCATTAAGTATTAAAACCACTACAATCTGATAAAGGTCTGGAGCCGATCTGATGATGGAGCCGAGGGCCAGTTGAGGGAACTCCTCAACGGTTAACAGTAGCTACCTTGTGTTTGGGTTTGATTAATTTGTATTGATGAGGACTTTACACCTGAGTGGGGTGTAATTGTCAATAAGGGTCTGATGATGAAGTAGTACGATAGTTGAGGGAACTCATTAACGGTTAACAGTAGCTACCTTGAGTTTGGGTTTGATTAATTTGTATTGATGAGGACTTTACACCTGAGTGGGGTGTAATTGTCAATAAGGGTCTGATGATGAAGTAGTACGATAGTTGAGGGAACTCCTCAACGGTTAACAGTAGCTACCTTGTGTTTGGGTTTGATTAATTTGTATTGATGAGGACTTTACACCTGAGTGGGGTGTAATTGTCAATAAGGGTCTGATGATGAAGTAGTACGATAGTTGAGGGAACTCCTCAACGGTTAACAGTAGCTACTTTGTGGTTGGGTTTGATTAATTTGTATTGATGAGGACTTTACACCTGAGTGGGGTGTAATTGTCAATAAGGGTCTGATGATGAAGTAGTACGATAGTTGAGGGAACTCTTTAACGGTTAACAGTAGCTATTTGTAACCGACTTCATGTGTTTAGGTTTGATTAATTTGTATTGATGAGGACTTTACACCTAGATGGGTGGGGGTGATGGTCATTAAAGGTCCAATGACGAAGTAGTATGATAGCTAAGGGACTCCTCAATGGTTGAGAGTACCCACCCGGTAATTGAACTTGCATAATTTGTATTGATGAAAACTTTGCATCCATGTGGGTTTTGTATAATATAATATATCAAAGTACTAAACTAAAAAGTATAAAATAAAATTAAAAAACTGCGTTTAAAAAAACCGACTTCAAAAACAAATGACAAACAAAAAGTAAAAACTAAAAAGGAAAAAAAAAACTATTAGTGGTCATACGTACTTATAGCTTACACACCCACTGATAGGTTAGAAGTCGGTGCCACAAACCCACAATAAAATATAAAGTAGACAAAAGTCACAGCTGGTATAATCCATAATAAAATTGTAAACAGCTCAATAATGTTAGGTATCTATTAAGGTTTTAATGAATATATAATAATTAGGTTTAAAACTTGTGGCACCAACTTCTAACCTATCAGTGGGTGTGTAAGCTATAAGTACGTATGACCACTAATAGTTTTTTTTTTCCTTTTTAGTTTTTACTTTTTGTTTGTCATTTGTTTTTTTTCATGTTTCTGTTTATAGAACTAATGTTTGATGTTACTGCGAAGGATTAGAATTATGTACGTGATATTATACCTACCTGAAGCAAAGATCAGAGATGCATAGATTTAATACACAACACTATTCGTTTGTTTTATACATATTATAATATGTTGTACTAGCGACCCGCCCCGGCTCTGCACGGGTGCAATATACATATATTATACATATAAACCTTCCTTAAGAATCACTCTATCTATTAAAAAAAACGCAAAATCCGTTGCGTAGTTTTAAAGATCTTAACATACATAGGGACAGACAGACGGCAGATAGCGACTTTGTTTTATACTATGTTGCGATAGTGATGTTATGGAGACGGACATAGGATATCTACTTTTTATTCAATATTTTTTACTTTTACTATAAATCACGAACGGGTACGGGAAAAACGGAATTGCGGGAACGAAGTCGCGGGCAGAAGCTATGTAGTCTTATATGTATTGAGAATTTTCCTTGATTCTGAGGTACCTTGAAAATTGTCCTGTTACACTTATAACTACTGCCACGAATTGCAACCACTCTGTTCTACAGATATATGACGCCTGTCATGTAGTTAACATAATGCAATTTGTAAATATTAAATAATTTGAAAACACAAACCAAATCTGCTTGAAACAAACCCACTTAGTACCTAATCTCGTGTGTCTCTCAACAGTAGAACCGTCTGAGCGGATATCATTATGCTAATGCTGCTCAATAACAAAAAACATCCAAGTAAAATACTCCGTAAATAATAAGAGTGATATCGATGTCTCTCTCGATATTCAGTTGTTTCGTTTCATTCATCTCCCTTGAGGATCTTGGCTCCAGCATTATCTAAAAGAAATTATTCTAATACAAAATGTATTTCTTTTTATGGATCTAGGCCACATTTTATCCAAGATTTTGCCTTACTTCCATATTCTACGGGGATTCTAATATTTGTATGGATATAACAACAATATTATACTAAAATATTTGTATAATAATAGATATATGAACGTTGGAAAAGTTTTCTTCAAGTATATTGTACAATACTGGTTTCTTAACACATTTTTTTTTATATTTCATTTAAACCATAATTTGGTACGTTAGTAACGTCAACAAATACAAAATAAATAATAGTCTGTCAGTCAGTTCGTCAGTGAAGCTAGGTGAAGCTAGGTGCTCATTCCAAAATGAAGATTCGAATGGAGAAGAACGAGCAAGAAACTCCAAAAAAAAAAAAATGTCTCTGATACATATTCCAATTCCAATACTGTACGTATATGTAAAAACAATGCAAAGACACACACATTATTTTAAGGACAGATGATAAAGGAAACCCTCAAAGTTTTGTGTATTAAAGTATAATTGTTATAATAATTAATACAAGCACTAAAGCTGTCTTGCTGTATGCTGATAGGTCAATCATATAAAACTACAACTACATTTGTCTATGTCTCACAAAATAAAATTACAGCATTACATAAACATTGTCACTATTATAACCTTTTCATCTGCAATAGGTACCAATTAAAATAAAATTTTAGTCATTTACCTCAATTACAGCTAGCTGGGAACTAATACATACCAATGTTAAGGTAAAAATTCAAATAATAAAAACAGTCACATACAATTAAAATAATTAAGCTGATAAATCTCAGTTCCATTTAAAAACAATTATACCTCTAGTGCCTGACACAAGAAAATTTACTAAAAAATAATTCAACATTACATTATGCTTAAACCATTCCGATTTTGATTTAAAGACCTTAGTTCTAGCTCTGTCGTTTTAATAATCATAGCTTTGTTCATGTGTATCAAATTCTCCAGATAACTAAACTGGCAATAATAAAATAGTACTAAAATTTCCATAAACACGCCTGAACAAATCCATGATGGGATGCCAACTGTCAATGAATTTAGCTACTCTTAGCAAACACCCTACTCTCCCATCCCTCTCTCTCAATAAACTTGATCTTGATTCCTCCCACTGGGTGCGTGATAAAGGACTGGGCCTTGAACTTCAGCTTCGTCGGCATACCATCAGCTAACTCCAGGCGATACTTCTTCAACATCGTGATCAGACCAGCCAACATTTGCATCTTTGCGAACCTCATACCTGAGAACAAAAAGGAAATATGAATTATTTGGGCAAATCAAACTAGTAATGGATAATGTCGGTAAATTGGGAGATGTATCAAATCACCTAAATGTACACAAAGTTAAAAAAAATAGGGAAACAAATTTTGTTAATCAATGGAAGACATGTATAAGTACTGAAAAGTGTTTCACCTTAAATTGATAGCAAAGATGAGAGAAGAGAAGCTCAATATATATAACATTAAGAATTACTAGTTAACAACGTAGAAATAATAATAACTTCAACAATTACTTGTTAGTATAAGTCAAAAATTCTATGTTCACAATTTTCATTACACACTATCAGCAAACAAATTATAAGTTATTAAAACCACACCTATCCATATCATTTGTCAAGTGTCTTTTCTACACTTGAGCTCATAGTATCTTATCTATTGACAACACAATATATTTATAGTACTATCTTCGCAGTATCATTATCTACATTTTATATTAATGTTCAATATTCACTTTAAATAACAATAAAATGTTCGTTAGTAACAAGATAACTCGTGCCTAAGACAATCAATATGATAAAAATCAGTAAAGGTAACTCATCACACAAATTTTGCTGCGCAAAAGAAACTTTTTGAATTCGTAAACAACCCAGTCGATGATTGAGTTTTATGTTGTTAACCAAAAAGTAAAGAATCTATACTGTTCCACCACAAACATGTTGGAACAGGTCAAACGAATGATCTATAACATCTATTTCAAAAAGGTATTCTATTCAAAAGTCCACCTATAAATAATAACGCCACTTGGTCACGGTGACTGACCGCGTTGATTTGACCTTGACAACTCGTTTCACTGTGATGGCTAAATAAACAAGCCTACACCGTGTTTTGAATAAGGAAAACGAATAACTTAACACAAAGATGTGCAAAGTACATCACGTTATTTTCTTTAAAGGAATAAATCAATTAATACGTTTAAAGTCTTCGAGTTTTACATTATCTTTGTAAAAATAGAACGTACCTATACATACTCTTGGTCCTTCTCCAAACGGTAAATATACATACGGATTGATTTTCTTTTTCTCTTCACCCATAAATCGTTCTGGACGAAATATTTCAGGTTCTGGGTAGAATTTTGGGTTATGGTGAAGATGGTATACAGGCAATTGTACAGTTACACCTTTATCCAACTTCGTTCCATCGGGCATTGTGTAGTCCTCCATCAGCTCCCTCGGGATTACACTGAGAACTGGGTAGACCCGGAATGTCTCATCTATGACAGCGTCCAAGTATGGCAACTCCGAAACACAATCGTAATTTATCTTGTTATTATGACGAGCTAAATATGAATCTATTTCATTAAATACTTTGTTCTGAACATCTTCATGTTTTGCGATTTCATATAAAGTGTAACTTAGAGCAGTAGTTGATGTTTTAAAACCAGCAGCAAAGAAAACGTAGCACTGAGCTATCAGTAAATCATCGCTCGCTTCCAATACCACTTTTTCATGTTCACCAGTTTTCATATTCCTGATGCTATCACCCACTATTTGATGCTTTTGTTTCCAACTCATAATGAGATCTACAAAATCGTTCCTCTCAGAAGGTTTGTTATCCCGTTGGTTCATCACAGAAGTGACCAATTTATGCAGAAAATCCAATTGAGTGCTAGGCATCTTAAAACCAAGAGCATAATAGATTTCAGGATACAAAGATCGCAACATACCCTGATATATCATACTTTTCCTAGGCTTTGAAGAACGAATTATCCTTCTGAATGGATTATCGTCCTCTCCTTCTGTCATTGTTTTAGTATCTATACCAAAAGCGCAGGCTCCAATACAGTCCATAGTGAACCTTGTAGTCATCGGCATCACATCGTGCTCCTTGGAAATCTTAATTTCTCGATCTATCATAGCTTCGTATTCGTGGGAACATTTCTCTATAAGATGGAACATGTTTCTCATTTTGGCTGATGTGAACAGTGGAGTCATATTTTGCCGGATAACTCTCCAATTATCACCAAATGTACCGAAGAGGTTCAAGCCACCCGGTTCCTTGTCATTGTATTTTGATAATGCTCTTCCATGAAAGTAATAAAAGTCCTTGGTCATGATCAACTTGATTATTTCTGGATCTTTAGGAATTAGGACAGGTTCAATACCGTTGAAAGCTCCAACGTACTTGTCGTCTGGAAACTGCTTGCAAATGTCGTCCATTATTTCTCCGTTAAACTTCTTGTCGAGAAACATATCCGTAAAATTTCCCAATAAAAATGTTGGCTCCTTATATGGTACGTTTCTAATTTTCCAGTAATTATATTTACGCGAAATGACATAGTAAAAGAGAAGTATGAACGCTAGTATGAGGTACAGAAAAATCATATTGATTCACAGCGCGACTCGCGTTGACTAATCGTCCTTAATGCTCGCACACACAGCACAGCGTATTGACTGTTCACTCTATCTCTATATATACGTACATTTTTGTACGTACGCTTTTTGTATTTTGCCCGACTAAAATTACTGGCGATGACACATTATCACGATAACAACGTTTGTGTTAGCAAGTGCAAATGTGTTTGTACTATAAATAGTAACAGTGATTCCCCATACAACTATAATTATGAAAATTACTCACACATACTTTTTTACCCACATGGACTTTGAGATTATTCTACAAACAATGGCTAGAATTTAGTTGCTAGGCAAACTGTTTTGGTTAAATATTGTAAGTGCGTTATCTAGCGTAATCGTATCTCTTTTGTGGAGGGGGGCCAACACGATATCGTTGTTATTAAAATTACGTAGGCACGAAAGGCTACAAGATAATTCATTTTCATTGTCATTGTTTGGATTAAGTAAAAATAACACTATCATTAGCACTAATAAGGGCACACATATTATGTTACTATGCGCACTGATCGTTGATTACAAAAATACCGTCGCCATGCAAACAAATCCGGTTCTACGGTACAAAAACAATACATCTCAAAACTGGTTATTCGTCATACTTCTATGATGCCTAGTTTCTCGCACACTATTTTGTCAGTATTTGTTTGATTAGCCTCATCTTATAAATGACTTCTTAATTTTATATTTTAACTCACCAATGCAAGTCCTGGGTCCTTCTCCAAACGGCAGGTACACGTACGGATTTATATTACGCTTCTCCTCCCCCAGAAATCTTTCAGGACGGAACACTTCAGGTTCTGGGTAATTCTCCGGATTATGGTGCAAGTAGAACACAGGTAAATGTACACGTAAACCTTTAGTTAACTTTGTTCCATCAGGCATTGTGTAGTCCTCCATCAGCTCTCGCGGGATCATTCCAAGGACTGGGTAGAAACGTAGAGCTTCATCTATAACTGCTTCCAAGTATGGCAACTCCGTAACACAGTCGTAATTCAGTTTGTTGTTGTGACGAGCTAGATATGCATCGACTTCGTCCAATACTTTTGTCTGTATTTCTTCATGCTTTGCCAGTTCATACAGAGTATAGCTCAAAGTGGTTGATGACGTCTCAAACCCAGCCGCAAAGAAAACAAAACATTGAGCAACTAATAAGTCATCGTTTGCTTCTAATGTCACTTTCTTATGTTCACCAGTTTTCATATTCTTGATACTATCGCCCACTATTTGATGGCTTTGTTTCCAACTCATTACGAGATCTACGAAATCATGCCTTCCAGACGCTTTATATTCACGTTTTGACATCACAGAAGTAATTAGGTTCTTAAAGAACTCCAATTGCTTTTTCAATAGTCGCCCTCCAAATAAATAAAATATCGACGGCCATATCGAACGAATAATTCTAACATAAACTACATATGCCGGGGGCTCAACAAATGCTGCAATTTTTTTAAATGGATTTTCTTCTACTCCTTCTGCCATAGTATTTGTGTCGACACCAAACGCGCAGGCTCCAATACATTCCATTGTATATCTCGACGTCATACTTCTAACTTCTAACTCATTTGAAATTTTAATTTCACGATCCAACATTTCTTCGAAAACATATGAGCATTTTTCAATGAGGTGGAACATGTTCTTCATCTTTGCTGATGAGAACAGTGGAGTCATGTTCTGACGGAGTACTCTCCAGTTGTCACCATACGTCGCGAAGACATTTAGTGCAGCAGGCTCCAAGTGGTTATATTTAGACAATTCCCGTCCATTAAAGTAATAAAAATCTTTGGTCACAATCAATTTAATTATTTCTGGATCCTTGGGTATAAGTACGGGTTCCGTGCCAAAGAATACTCCAATGTATTTTGCATCCGGAAATTTATTACAACAATCTTGAATATTTTCTCCGAATGATTTCTTCTGAAGAATCATGTCACCATAATTTCCCAGTAAGAATGTGGGCTTGGAGTGAGCCACATTTCTGACTTTCCAGTAATCATATTTACGCGTGATTACATAGTAAAAAAGAATCAATAGTGTTACGAATAAATACAGAAACATCGTGTTGTTTCCCTAGACGGTCTCAGTTGACTGACTGGCTAGCGCTGTTTGTTATTATATTTGAGTACGTCGCTCCGGTGAATCGATGTAAACTAGTTATGTGACGCACTTCAAATTGGAGTGACTCCTTTAGCTGTTATCACGGAACAGCTGTTATCCAAGTGTCGAAGACTATTATCAATGTTTAATGTTACAATTATAAGTGACTTGCATAAAATATATCAAGTTTGAGAGTATTTATTATTTATTTACATTTAACAGAACAAAGAATAGTATGTTAAATAAAACTTGTAACTGATAATAGGTGGATGAATGTTTCGATAATATTAAATACGTATATAACAAAATGCGTATATCAAAGAAAGTTGACCAGTTCAACAATGAGTACTCACCAATACAAGTTCTTGGTCCCTCTCCAAACGGCATATATGTGTAAGGAATAATGTTTTGTTTCTGGTCATCAAGAAATCTTTCAGGACGAAACACCTCAGGTTCGGGGAAGTAATCAGGATTATGGTGCAGGTAGTACGTTGGAATATGTATACGAAGACCTTTCTCTAACTTCACGCCTCCAGGCAGAGTGTAGTCTTCCATCAGCTGCCGTGGTATTACGCCAAGAATCGGATGAATACGAAGAGTTTCATCAATAACAGCCTCCAAGTACGGCATTTCCATGATACACTCGTATTTCAGTTTATTTTTATTACGTGCTAAATATGCATCAACTTCTTGCAACACTTTTTCTTGAATATGTTTATTCTTGGCTAGTTCAAAAAGTGTATAACTTAATGTAGTGGCTGATGTCCCAAATCCAGCAGCGAAGAAAACAAAACATTGAGCCACTAACAAATCATCATTAACCTCCAACGTTAGTTTCTTAACTTCACCAGTTTTAGGGTTTTTTATACTATCCCCTATAATATGGTGGTTTTCTTTCCAACCCATAACCAAGTCAATGAAATCATTGCGTCCAGAAGATTTATATCCCCGCTGAGTCATAACAGTAGTAACCAGATTGCGAAAGAAGCCAACAATCTTTGCTCCTATATTTAACCTCAGTCCATAAAATATTGATGGCCAGACATCATGGATTACTCGAAGTAAGCAAGCTATTGCTGGTGGTTCTGCAAAAGACGCAATTTTTCTAAACGGATTCACATCTTTTTCTTCTGTTAAAGTCTTCGTATCTACACCAAAGGCACAAGCTCCAATGCATTCCATGGTGAATCTTGAATTTAACGACTTGGCTTCGATTACATTTGATGTTTTAGTTTCTCGATCTAATACTGCTTCGAGTGTGTGTGAACACTTTTCGATGAGATGGAACATATTCTTCATTTTAGCTGAAGAGAACAGAGGCGTTAGATTCTGACGCAGTACTCTCCACGTGTCGCCGTAAGTGGCAAACACATTGACAGCAATGGGCTCTTTGTCATTGTGTTCTGATAAATCTCGGCCACTGAAGTAGTTGAAGTCCTTAGTCACAATTAGTTTGATAATTTCTGGATCCTTAGGGATTAGTGCGGGCTCTGTACCGAAATATGCTCCAACAAATTTCGCATTCGGAAATTTGTTGCAAATATTTTGGAGCACCTGTCCAAATGCATCTTTTTGTAATATCAAGTCTCCGTAGTTACCCAATAAAAAAGTTGGTTTGATGTGTGGTACGTTTTTATTTTCCCAGTAACTATATTTACGCGCGATAACATAGTACAAGAGTACTAGTAATATTATTGTTAAATATAAAAACATCGCGTTGTGCCACTACCGCGTGCGTGGACTGAGCGTGTGGGTGTGTCGAACTGCACTGTTAGCGTATGGCTGTCTTCACTGTACATATTATGTGATATATCGCCTAATCTTTTGGTTTGGACAACGTCATGTTGTTCGACATTTTTTGTTACACAATTTGCTGTATCTATTTTTTATCGCAACGACGATTTTTTAATAAGATAATAAGTTTAACACATTGGATGCCGTCTCGGACAATATTGACCGACACTAGCGGAGGCTTAAAATAAATAAAAAAAAATTGTTTATAGCAGTAAATACAACGAGAGCATTGGAACTTCTTTGCAAATTGAACGCAATTGTACCTATAAATCTATAATTCAGCTTGACAGTTGAATGAAAGACGTCTTTGATGAATCCGTGCTGCTATAGAAACTAATGATTACAAATTAAATACAATTGTGTATTAACACCCAATGTTTTATATCGGGATTATTTCAATATGTTGATTTTGAGACAGAAAATGCCAAATTGTACCAGGTGTTATTTTTAATTTTTTATTTGTTCTGATATAAATTCAGCCAGATAGTTCAAGTTTGCACTTTTATCAGATGATATGGTATCACAATATACAAAAATTCTATAACTTATCTGTAAAATATTAATTTTGAACAACAAATTTCTCCTTGAATACGTTCAATACTCAACCCAATGCAATTTAAAACTGAGTTTATTTTTCTTAACACATATGTTCTTTCGCAATAATTACACAAAAACAAATAGTATTACTTACCGATACAAAGACGAGGTCCTTCTCCAAACGGCATGTAGGTGTAGGGAACGATATTCCTTTTCTCCTCTCCCAGGAATCTTTCTGGACGGAACACCTCAGGTTCTGGATAATATTCTGGATTATGGTGCAAGTAGAACACAGGCAAGTGCACACGCAGACCTTTTTCTAACTTTGTTCCATCAGGCATTGTGTAGTCTTCCATCAGCTCTCGCGGGATCATTCCAAGGACTGGGTAGAAACGTAGAGCTTCATCTATAACTGCTTCCAAGTATGGCAGCTCCGTAACACAGTCGTAATTCAGCTTGTTGTTGTGACGAGCTAGATATGCATCGACTTCATCCAGTACTTTTGTCTGTATTTCTTCATGCTTTGCCAGTTCATACAGAGTATA